GGAGAAATTTTTGCATCAGGGCAGTAGAGCCCCTCTGGTACAAACACTCTGAAATCTTTTGCAAACATTAAAATAATGACTACAAAACCTGGATGCATGGAAAAATTGTGATAGTTGGGTAAAGAGAGTAACCATGCCATTATAACAATAACATAAAATATATATTTGTATATGACAGATGGAAAGGCACATAGAAAAATGAAAATAGTTTTATTTTTTGGAAAGTGGAATTATGGGAGAATTTTTTTCTTTTCTTTTGCTTACATTAATGCTGCTATAGTATTCTTTGTAATATTTTTTAATTTTATTGAGATATAATTGCCATATGGCATTGTGTACAGTATAATGACTTTGAGAAATGACTACCACAGTAACATTGTTAGAGTCTTGCTGAAACATTTGTCAAAATGAGTAGATTTTGTGAGGTTTAGTTTTTCTCTGCTTTAATTATTTAAAGTGAGGCTTCCACTACTTCCCTTTTAGATTTGAGGACTAATCTGTCCCTAAAGTTATCATTTTCTGAATAGTCAAAAATGTTACTTATGCAGAATGAAATCTGAAAGCCAAAGTTTGAAAGTAACTTGGACCCAGCTTAAGGAAGTTTTATTTTGGAATTTTACCATTCAGACTTGATTCATATCAAGAGAAAACTGTAGTTCATGTAGACACTTAATTCCAGTAATGTCATTTAGAAGATCCCTGAAGACAAGGTAATTTGTACAGTGTGATCAGAATTCATGAATGTCTATAATTCCTGAAGACAATGCTGTGTTTCTGACCATAAGTTGCAGAACAATCAGTTGAAAACAAGAAATTCCAGTTGATACATTGACTATTCGATCACAGCTACTGTTTGAATATAACCTACATTACTATGAAATGTCTTTCCCAGAGTAAGACACACTGTCCTCAGAAACACACTGAAAACTTGGGGCGCCTGGGTGGCTCAGTTGGTTAAGCGTCCGACTCTTGATTTCGGCTCAGGTCATGATCTCAGGGTGGTGAGACTGAGCCCCCCACATCAGGCTCCGTGCTCAGCGGGGAGTCTGCTTGAGATTCTCTCCCTCTTTCCCTCTCCCCCACCCATGTGCACACGCTCTCTCTCTCTTAAATAAACAAATCCTTAAAAATAAAAAAAGCAGCACACTGAAAACAGAAATCCAGTGCAAAATGAAGCTCTGATGAGGAGGAGGATTCCTGGGATGTCCTCTGCCAGGCAACAAATAGGACTGTGTGGGGCAGAACTACTTTCCCGGAAGCAAAGACACCAGTCGCAAGAGCCTCAACCAGAATTCTAGAGATACTGTACAGACCCCATTGCAGTGCATGGCCTATGTTGGATATCCAACAAATGTTAACTTCTTTTTTCTCCACTCCATTTCCAGTTATTGCCCCCCCACCACCACTGCCTCAAATACAGTATCTTTGAGGTTTCTGAGTTAACCACGGTGTTTGATAGACTAATCAAGAAGTAGGCTAACTGGACAAGCTGATACAATGCTTTCCTGGGCCCACGTGTTTAACTGTTAGGAGAGGAGTGCACTGTCAGCCTTCTGTGCAGGCATTGATTAGACTCGAAATACTTTAAGGGCTGGCCACCAGGCAGGACTCTCTGCCCCAAACTGTCAATGCCAACTGCCAGGCTTGACGCCCAAAATTGTTTTGCTAGAAATTCCAGTGTTTATAATATTATTCCCATCTTCAGGACACCTATTTTAAAATAACCCTGAGTTCTATCAACTCCACCTTTAAAGCATATCTTGAAACTGTCCACTTCTCTCCCTTTCCACCATTACCACCCTAGTCCAAGCAGCACAACCCCTCTCGCCTCAGCTATGGAAAGAGCCTCCGAAGAGCTGCCCTTTTTCTCCACTTTTCACAAGCCATTTGTCACATAGTCAAGGCATAATTCAAATAAGTCCCTTGCTTAAAGGCTTCCAGCAGCTTCCTCTGCATGTCTCAAGGGTTACAAAGCCCCTTAGAAGATCCAGCTCTACCTAGCTCTCTGATTTCATCTCCTACCACTTTGCCCACACTCACTCTTGCCCTTTCTCCTACTCAAATGTGATAGACAGCTCCCTTTTCTACCTGATATTCAGGGCTTCTCGGGCTAATGCTGTACCCTGCATACACATTCCCAGCTACTCTCTGCTCATACACGATTTTACTGCCTTTACAGTAGCTACCTCTATTTAAAATAATCAATTGCTTTGCTTCTTATGCCTTTAGGCAGGGGATTTATTTGAGTATGCCTTGACTTCTCTGTGGTGAATGGCTTCTGGAAAGTGTATAAGCTCTAGAATATGAGCCATATGAGAGTGGAAACCTTGCGGATCTTGTTCACTGCTCAATCTCTAGGGTCCTATGAGTGCCTGGAACATAACAGGTGCTCAGAAAGTCATTTCTGAATGCGTAATGGTATTGCCCAATTAGGTGGCCCTTTATTGGTTTTCAAAATTGACCTTTATGACTTCCTTGATGATGCTTCTTAAATAGCTCCTTCTTTGGAATGTGACACTGTGTTATACCAGTTCCTGGCTCCTGCCCTCTTTCTACTACTGATCCCTAATATCTCATCTTTCTCAAGGTCCTTTCTTTTCCTTTCTTTTCTGTCTGCATTCTCCCTCAGAGTCTCATTCATTCTCATTGTTTCAACCATCACCTTTGAAGAGAGTCCCCGTCTTCACATCTGTTCCCATTGATCTCTATCTGCATTTACTGAGAGTTTCTAATTGAACATGCCCATTATTAAAATACACTCTCATCCTCTGTAATACACCCTTCAAATTGAGACTTCCCCGTCTCTGTAAAATGACTCCACCATTATCCTAGCCACATTTGATCTCTCCTCCTCCCTCTCATCCAGCCCCCATATCCTATTAGTAAACAAACTCCCCCTCATTCCTTTGCAAAATCTCAGATTCCATCCCACACTCTCAAAGTGTTTTGCCATTACCTTACTGATGGGTCTGAACTTCTGAACTTATATAGGCTCATATTCTATCTCATAGGAAATCAGAATAGGACAGGAGCCATGTGACCATCTAACCAAACCCCCACACTTTACAGACAAGGAAAAGGAGGGCCAGCCTGGTTAACTACCATGGCTACCATGGTACTAGATGGAGAGTGCTGAGCACGGTGCCAGAACCAGAGCTCAACCTCCAGGATGGCACTCTCTCTATAATCTTTGGGAAATGGCCAAGGAGAGAGGAAGAGCTAGAGGGTCCTGAAAGAAAAGCACCAAGAGAGAAGATGAGTAAAGGACACTGAAGACACACACTTCTTTGACTTCCCAATTTTGCCTCATGCTGCCCCGAAGAAGGCTGTATCTTGAATGAGTCCTTGGAGTTAATAATGATTATTTGTCCTGAATACCTGCAATTGTCACTATTGGTCTGCCTCATGGGGGTGCCAGGTGCTATCAAGGCACTGATTTGATTTTCACCTACATAGTACAAATCAACTTTTCATTTTATCATAAGTTCAGGAACCATATGCCACTGTGACATTAAACAGTGAAGTCAGGCTCATCTCTTTCTTTAAGGAAAACTTTATTCGAAAACCCAGATATGATTAAGGGGAAAAATAAATTTGGAATGTATCAATAAATAGTCTTCTCTAAAATTTATTTCAGAGAATTTTGATCCATTTTAGAGTAATATAGTCACCCAGACCCTCTCAAATTCCGTGGTTGGTAGGATGGAGTATGTTCTGCTGTCAACATTGCTTTCCTCCACAGTCAATGATGATTGGTAAAAACCTGCTTAAAAGGTTCTGGGACCAGCCCAGAGAATGTATCTCTTCTGGCATTGCTGAGAAAGTGGTCTGGAGTGCACAGAAAATCAGGTGTTATTTTCCTTAGTTCTAAGGCCTTGATGTTCAAGTATTACGTGATTGAAGATAAATCCTGAATAGTTTAGAGCTCCATAGGAAAGACATAAATTTTATTCAAGCTTATTGGGAGCATCTTTGTTGTGGAGTGGTTCATGTTTTTCCTTCTGGTTACCTCAACTGAGATACAGTACTCAGGGAGTTAAGGTCATAAAGTTAAGTACCTATGTGGTCCCGTGGCTTCTCCTAACTTTCTTATGTCAGATAAATAAGATTAAAATGAGCATCAAGGACAGCCTTGAAGTAGACTCTAAATTTGCATTCCAAGAAAGATAGAGGTAATATTGAAATGTGCTTCAGGAGGGGGAGCGGGGGTCATACAAGGACAGTCTCATCCCCTGGATCTCGGTGATTACAGAGGTTTAAGAGCTCCCAGTTTACCAGTGAGGCTCAGGTCTTCTTTTAACACAAGCTGAGGGCTGCCTCCTGGAGTCATTTGCCAATTGCTGTCTCTGAAGGGAAGTGTCTGCTTTGTCCGACGCGAATGTGGGTTTAAGATCAGGGTTAGGAGCACAACCACAGGCTGTATCAGAAACAGATGGGACAAGAGCCCCGGGCTCATTCACAGCACAATGACACCTTCTACTTATCTTTCTTCCCTGCAGTTCTTAGCAGCCACCAGCCCAAGGCAACCAACATATACTGCCAGTCACCTCCACAGCCTTTCAGAGAAGTCAGGAGACCTTGAGGTTTTCAGTATATGGAGAAATGAAAAAATGCCTAAATAGGGTTACAGAAATGTTGGTACATTTTAAATATTTACATTTAACCAATTGCTGCTTTTAATGTACACACATACATACACACAAAGCTCTTACACACACACACCACCACAAAAAAAGGGAATTACAGAATTTATGAAACTAGTGCACTGTGGGTGGTGTAGTCCAGATAATGGGACACAAGTTTAACGTGATCCAATGGGTACTGTCTTCTTTCAGTCCTCTCAGTGTAACTCTGGACGTCCTATTCATGTCCACAATTGAGACCCTTCCTGACTGGGAAGCCCAGGCCAGACGGCCCTCTCAGTCCCCCTGCGATGGGTACTGTCCTCCTCTCCCAAATGTTCCTAATTAAAAATCTTTCCTTGACCATAAGCCAATCACACCACCTGCTCCAACCTACCGTGATGTTATAAAAGAGGCAAAAAGACAATTTGCAAGGAACCAAAAGGAATTTCGGATGTAAGTTGGTGCCATACTCTTGTTAAATAGAAAATCACAAACTCTTTTTGAGCTGGAAGTAATCATAGAATTCATCTACAGTGAGCTCCTTATTTTACCAGTGAGGAGAGTCACTTCTGAGTGTCTAACAGACTTGGAGATTCTTTTCTGGTAAGTGTCAAGGATGCATGTTGGAGCCGTGGAGCCATGGCAGGTGTCAGGGACTGAAGGAAGAAAGCAAGCCTTGCTGCGCTGTGGTTGGGGGGATGCGCCCCAGCATGGAAAGCCCAGAAGAGAGCTCCAGGGACTAGAGACTGGAGTTCTGTTTATTTACAAAGAGCCCTGGAAGAACAGAAAGGTGTGTTTGCAGCATGAGTTCCCCGGAGCTGGAGTGGCAGTTGGGGCGGCATTGAGGAAAGCACAATCAAATACAGCAAAGAGGGGGAAATGGAAGAACAGCCAGGCAGGTCTTATCCAGCAGGCAGGACAAAAGTTTGAGCCTCTGCTTTCCAAGGGTGCCCATTCCCTTCCCACCTTCCTCTAGCCCCCCTAACCCCCAGCACACATGCCCACGCACACACAGCCCTTAGATTTCCTGTGCCTGGTTGGAAGAACAGGGGTGGACACTTGGTGAGAGGGCCCCTATGGAAGCAGCAAGGCGGAGTCCAAACCATACCCAGGTATCACGGGTGATGTCTTTGGTATGTATTTATAGGAGGGGATGTTCTGGGGGATTCCTCACACCAAGTAGTGCGTAGGGAGGGGATGCTGAAGAATTGGGTTTGTAAAGGACTTTCACTGACATGAAGTCAGAGAATTGTTAATTTATTCTTTCCCAATTAGAAATCCTGCTTTATTTTAAAATGTAATTTGAAATTTTGATTTTTATAGAGAAAAGCACAGAATTAATGAAGAAATAAAACTCCTAAAACAGCGGCAGGAAAGAATTGACAAGGAGCTTGACAGGTTTGTTCCTTATTCAACTTTGTAGTGATTAAAAACATTTTAACTGAGGGGCGCCTGGGTGGCTCAGTCAGTTAAGCTTCCGACTCTTGGTTTTGGCTCAGGTCATGATCTCGCGGTTGTGGGATTGAGCCCCATGTCGGGCTCTGAGCTCAGTGCAGAGTTTGCTTCAGATTCTCTCTCCCTCTCCCTCCCACTCATTCTCTCATTCTCTCAAATAAATAAATAATCTAGGGGCACCCAGGTGGCTCAGTCAGTTAAGCAGCTGCCTTCAGCTCGGGTCATGATCCTGGGGTCCTGGGATCGAGCCCCACATCGGGCTCCCTGCTCAGCAGGGAGTCTGCTTCTCCCTCTCCTGCTCCCCCTGCTGTGCTGTCAAATAAATAAATAAAATCTTTTAAAAAATAAATTAAAAATCTGTTTTAAAAAACCATAAAACATTTTAATTGAACAAATGTGTTACATAAAACTACAATGGGTTTATTATGTAAACATACATCAACTCAGATATCTGCAAAGAAATTTTCTACTCAACAGTCCATCTGGAATAACCTTTTGACCTTCTTTGTCCACAGAACCACTTACTCTGCTAATTTAATTAATTGCTAAACATCATCATCATCTCCTTTAACTCTTCAGCTTTAGGACTTAAGCTGAAGGCTTTTTATAAATAAATAAATAAATAAATAAATAAATAATAAATAAATAAATAAATAACAAATAAAAAATAAATAAACCTGTAACCCTGCCCTGCCCTAGGGAAGATGTAAACTAGAAAAACAACCTATTTAGCTGGTCTCCCTTGGGCTAGTTCTTTGTTCCCTTTCTGCCCCTACACACACAAACACTTTTTGGGCACATTTAATTTGTTTATTTTACAAATTAGAGTATAAAAAGGAAAACTATAAAGTATTGAGACTAACCTACTTCTAGCATACCCACATGCACAAGAATGTGTCAGATGAGCACAGCCCTTCCGACGGGCGCCTTGCAAGACAACAAGCTGTGTGCCATTCATCTTCTAATTACTATTTTGGAACTTAAAAAGCTAGTTTCCTATAGAGCTGTCAAATCACTATGTTGTACAACTGAATCTAATGTAACATTATACAGATGCTATACTTCAGTTTAAAAAAAAAAAAAAAAACGTTTCTGGGCTCCTAGCTGGCTCAGTCAGTGAAACATGCAACTTTTGATTTTGGGGTTGTGAGTTTGAGCCCCACATTGGGTGTAGAGATTACTTAAAAATAAAATTTTTAAAAATAAATAAAATAAAAATTTTAAAGTTAGTTTCCCAGTCACATGAGAAAATCCAATCCATTACTTTAGAATATTATCTCACTTTTTACCAAATATCACCCAAATTTCCCCTTCAGAATGCCCACATAAAATCTGATTCCCGGGGAGCCTGGATGGCTCCAGTCAGTTAAGTGTCCTCGACTCTTGGTTTCCGCTCAGATCATGATCTCAGGGTCTTGAGATCAAGCTCCACATCGGGCCCCATGCTGGACATGGAGCCTACTTGGGATTCTCTCTCCTCCTCCTTCTGCCCCTTTCCATTTCCCCCGCCCCCACACTCTCTCTCTCAAAAAAGAAAAAAAGGAAGGAAGGAAGGAAGAAAGAGAGAGAGAGAAAGAAAGAGAGAGAGAAAGAAAAAGCGAAAGAAAGAAGAAAGAAAGAAAGAGAAAGAAAGAAAGAAAGAAAGAAAGAAAGAAAGAAAGAAAGAAAAGAAAGAAAGAAAGAAAGAAAGAAAGAAAGAAAGAAAGAAAGAAAGAAAGAAAGAAAGAAAGAAAGAAAGAAAGAAAGAAAAAGAAAAAAAGAAAGATAGATCTAGTTCCAGGTGACTTTTACAAGTTCCCCCAAATTAAATCTATATGGGACAGGATTTCTCATCACTGAGGATGTAACAGAAGAATGTAGGACAGTCAGAGCAATTTGCAAGAAGCACTCAAATATGTTTCATGCAATGGGACATTGTTAGAGAAAATAAAGGGAAAATATTCATATATATAAATCTCATGTGCCTGTTAAATCTATAGGCACAGCATACACATTTTTATCTGTAATCTTCAAAAAAGAGATACTCATGGAGAGGAAAGGAAAGGTAAGCAGGAAGATGGGGGTTAGGTAGTGGTGGTGGCTACAGCCACTGAATTGTACACTTTAAAAGGGTGAATTTTATGGTATGATACATATGTCAATAACACTGTTATTTTAAAAAAGACAAGACGGGCACTGTAAATTAAAAGGTGAGTCAGAAGATGGCTTTATTTTAACGAAGTGAGATGAACCAGAGTTCATCTCAAGGAGATTCTAAGAGGGTGTTACCGAGAAAGGGCATCAGGAATATTTTGGAGTGTGTTTAAATAGGACTATGAGAAAGAGACCCAGACTGGGAGAGCCAGATTTGAGAAAAACCGGAGAAGAGAGCCCCAGAGGGTAATCCTAAGTGAGGGAAAAAGCCAGTGGAGGAGATGAAATGGGCAGAGATAAAGCAGAAAATGAGTGAGGGGCATTTGTGGGTGGCAGAGCACTAACGCAGGAGGCCCTTAAGAGCTAGGCCTACTGCACCCTGAGGGGTGCCTGACACTAAATGCTAAAGAAACCGAGAGAGGCGGCCTTGCAGGGTGGCTAATCTAAACTTTATGCTTTAGCAACGTATATTTGGAATTTTCAGAAATGTTTACTTCCTACAAATTCCATGGAGGAAAAATAATTTTAAAATGTCTCACTTGAAAATTGCCAGTGAAATTAATAGCCATACATCCTTTTTTTCATTTTTGTTTCTCTTGCTAATGTTTCTCCCTCATCCCCAGTTATTACCCATCCTAGCTTTTGCCTACCCCTGCCTCTCCCCTCATCCACAGATCTCTGGAAAGTTTTCTGCTGCCTCCTGAATTCAGCTCTCCAACTCCTTCCTAAATATTTCTTGAATGAGTACTCGGTGACAAAAATCAGGATAGATTCCTGGATTCCTGCGTCCCCGAGCTTCCAGCCTTGTCCGTCTCTTTCCCCCCAGATCTTTCCCCTGCCGGCCCCTTGTACTCTTCTGTCCGCATGGACACTCCTTAAAGTCTGCACCAGAGCCGGGCAAGCGAAATCAGTTCAGCAAATTCTGTGCTCACTCTCCTCACTGAAGAGAATGCTTCACTCCGGTGGTTGAATTGAAGGCTCGAGTCACACTGCTTGGGTTCAAATCCTGTATTACTTGCTAGCTATAGGACTCTGGGCAGGTTAATTAACCTATCTGAGCCTTTTTCCTCATTTATAATACTGGATAATAGTAGTACCAACTTGATAAGATTGTTGTAAGGACAATTGAATGAATATATGTAAACTGCTGGTAAATGCCCAGCATATTAAATTTTGTGTAAATGTTAGCTCTTAGTTGGTGTCAGTATAAAAACAATTGGTTTGGCTACTGACTTTTTTTTTTTTAATTTTTTGATTAGACTCCAGGCAAAGGCTACCAAAAAACCTTACGAAGTTAAGAATGACTTCGAGAATTTCCTCCATAAACTGGTATGTTTCCTTTTTAGATAATTGAGAATTCTCTCTGTAGCTTCTCTTATATGGACTGGACATTTAATAAGCAATATATGGTTTCACATCCAAGTCACAGTGGCAAGGTAGAATACACTATTGTCATTTACATCCACGTGTACATTTAAGATAATCTGTTTTTCATAGTAGTGACAACCTCATGCCCACTTACCCTCATCCCTTGCTTCTGACCATGGGCAGTTTATGCACCTGAAAACCTCCAAATGTGGTCAAAATTTCAAACTAATAGAAAATTATCAGTGTGTGAAGTCATATTTTATGTTCTGTTATTTCAGCAAAAAATATATTGGATTCTAATGACCGTGTTGGCTGAGTGGTCCCTGCAGAAATTAGAAGGTTCTAAACAGGACTCAAATGAGAGAGAGGAAGAGAAGAAAGGAGCCTGCTCCGTCTTTCCAGTTTTCTCTGTCCCCTCCTCATGCTCCTCCTTAACTTCTGGGCAGTTCTGTTAAATCTGAAGTTTCTTCGTCCCTTCCAGCAGGCAAAAACATGTAGAGAAAAAGGTGCAATAAATGTGGGGGTTGGGAAATGTGAGGTCAGAAACAGGAGAGAGCTTTTTATTTTTAGCGTGTCTCTAGAACGATCCTCATTGGTTACTGCTGTGATGTCAAAAGCCGAGGTTAAATAATCTAATCAAATTCCCATCTGAGCCAAAAGGTGAGAGAAGGGAGTAAAACACTTGGGTATTTAATATTAAACAAATAGGACTATTCTTCACTTCTACACAAAAAAAATTCTTTCTCCCATTCTTCTTGGTCTCCCTTCACTACTACTACAGACATGGGTACAATTATTTCTGAGGTATAAGAAAACCACTGTGCCAGTGTGCTGGTGGAAGGCAAGTGACCTCAGCAGGTACGTGGTACACGGCCTGAGTGTCAGGGAAGGTACAGGTTGTGGAAACCTGTAGCACACCGAAGGGCCCACGCCTCATCCAAACAAAGCTATACCGCAGCTCTAGTTCACACCCCCCACCTCCCAGGAGTGGAGGCCAGCGGAGAAGCAGATCTTCCACCATCAGGAATCCAGGTTCTTCTATAGAATTCCTGATTAGAACCCCACATTTGTCAATACTCTGGGGGCCAAACTAAATGTATCTGCAGACCAGATGTGGCCCGTGGGCTGCTGGGTTTGTAACCCCTCCTCTAAATGCTGGACTTGGAGCTCTTCAAAAGCTACCTCCAGCCAGTATAACCTACCTTCTCCACCGTATCCCAGGGCAAACTCCTCACCCCCCTGAACCTTCTGAACACCCCACATTTGCTCCTAGTCATATACTCACCCATCTGCAGCGCCTACTCCCCAGCTTTCAATTTCTACTCATCCTTTAGGGCCCTGCTCAAATTCCATCTTCTTCATGAAGCTTTTTTCCAGTTGTCCTAGCCCCAACCTTCCCAGAAAAGTTTGAGATCTCTCACAACTTCTAGAATAACAGTGATGATTTGATTGAAAAACAGTTCTTTTCTTCAAGCCAGACATTGAGACAAATAGAGAGTAGACCCCTGGCTCAGAACAACTGCGTCCTCCAAAGCAGAGGGCACAATGGAAATTTTTACTCACCTGTTGCAAGAAGGAATCTCATGGTGAAAAATTTAAATAGAATAGCAAAGCAATGGAAAGTACCACATTTTTTGTTTTTTGGGTTTGGGGTTTTTTTTTTTACAGTAATCCAGGTATCTTTAAATAATTATGTACCAACCACAGATCTTCTGTGGAAAATGGAAAGGTATTTAAAAACAAGGAAATACAATCTGGGGTGCCTGGATAGCTCAGTCTGTTAAGAGTCAGCCTTTGACTCAGGTCATGATCCTGGGATCCGGGAATTCCTCACTTCTCCCTCTCCTTCTGCCCGTCCTCACCCCCACCCCAGCTTGTGCTCGCTGTCTCTCTCGCTGTCTCTCGCTCTCTCTCAAACAAATAAATTTGAAAATTTTAAAAAACAAAAACAAAGAATTATTTAAAATCAATTCAGATTTTGGATTATTGGATGTTATAAAACTCAAAATCCTTTCAACAAATTTGACTTAAGCTTTCTCAAGTGTTTACCTTTCTTTAAAGAATGAAAATGCACCAGGAGTTTGTTTTAGAAGAATGGGTTTCCTAGTACTTTATATGACTGCTGTCCTTTGAGAAATACTAGAACCAGCTTTGCCTTAGCCTCTCTGAAACTGAGATTCAAAATGATGATGTCCAGTCTTTAAGCTGTACATTAACAAGCAAAACAATCATAGAATAATACAAAATTGTGGTAATTTTCTGGATAATTCATACCATAAGACTGCTGCTGCCTCAATTATCTGATAATATCAGCAAAATGTTTTTTGGTCTAAATCTTCCTATAATTCAGGAAGGCACTCTTGCAAGAAAGCCATTCACTTACCATCACCACATTACACATCACCACAAACACTTCTGGCCACTTTTTTTTTCCTGACCACTTTTGATAAACATATACAGGACTCACCAACACCCCTGCCCAATCCCAGAACCCACTCTTACCCAAAGGCCTGCACACCCGTCCTCCACTGCACACCATGGTCCACATATACATACAAGAGCAGCTAGACACACAACAGACGGTTGCAGGCCCGGGTGCAGTTTCCTAGGCCGGTAAACATGCCTTCTGGATCAGAGCAGTTAAGTTATAAGTTAAGATCAGATCTTAACTTTTAAGAAAAGTTGGCATAGAGTGGGAAGAAAGTAAATTCAATGAACAAATTGAATTATCTGAATTATCATCCAGATAATTCTCCATTTCAGTGTGAATAGAGATAAAGACGGAAAGCGTCTTTTATCTAAGTTTCTCTATTAAGTGATAGAGAAAGCTCAGGGCCAAAAGAACTGAAAGTGATTATTTATGTGATAGCACATAGTTTTTAAAAGTAAATGAGCCTAAATCCATCTTTGCTTTAAAAAAAAAAAAGTGATTCTTCTGATCTTGATAATTGGTGTAACCTCACATTCAAGTATCCGGGAAAATTTATGAATCTTTAATAACGTATTATTTTAATAGCATTCTGAAGCTCGAGCCAAGAAAGAGTTTCTGGCATCACTCTCATCATCATCATCAACAGAAGACTACAACTATGAAGAAGAGGAAAGTCCAGAGAAACCAGAAATGAACTGTGTTTAAGAACATGGCATACAATGCAATTGTATCCTTTTAATTGTAGCAGTATGTTTAATTCAACGCCAATCCATGGGGTCAGTATTGAATGTCTTTTATCATTCATCTTTAAAAATCCTGAAATCAGTAAATCTCAGTAAATCATTCTTAAGGGAACTGTCCAAGCATAACTTTGGCTTTTATTGGTAGAAACATATTTTAAAATGGAAAAATAATCATTATGAAGCATAGAGAGCTTTCAACCATTTCTTTGGAAATACATCTTGATAATAGCAACTGTTCATCATAATACAAAACAGAAAGAGGATTAATTTACTGTGGCATAAGAAGTTCTGCCAGTTCCTAAATGCCCTAAATAGTTTCTCTGAGATTTTCTACATTGTTTGGGCCTCAAGGAAAACCAAAGCCCCGCCTCCAGGTTTGGTAGCAAACAAACTCTGCTTCTCAGATGTTACGTTTCGGTCGCTCCTCTGGTAATAAGCTTCGAGCACGTTTGCTAGGAAGCTGGTCAGCTTGTCAGCAGGTACTAGTGATACTGTGCAGCCTCCCCATCCTGCTCCAGTGAGTCGTGACCCTTGAGCCCCAAACTTCCTAAAACAATGAGAAAAAAAACACACATTAGAACCCGTAAATGAAAATGAGAGTGGTTTGCCTGGTGCGTAGAGAGAACACACAGCCTACTCAAGTTCTAAGAAGAGAATATGTGTGGGTTTCTTTGTGGGGGAGGGGGAGGGTAGTTCAGTGTGGCCAAACACTTTAGGACATGAAGAAATTTACAGTGTTTCAGAAGGTGACTGGGAATTTAATTGTATCTAAAACTAGGCCATGATTCTGGCTCCAAGCAGTAAAAGTTAGCAGTACTATCTGGTGAGAGCTGACAATAACCCACTATATAGTCTTGATCCCATAAAGTCACCAATTAAGCAGTTGTATATAGCAAGCTTGCAGGCGATCAAGAGGAGGCAACAGGTATGATCAACATTATGAGTCAAAAGGTGGCTCCAAATGAGGTCAAATCCAAATTTAAAGTGCAAATCTTATATAAGTGAGGACTTCCTCCAGTGGCTGTTTAAGGTGTGTTCTTAAGGCTTGGCTATTCCACATAAAAGAATCCGTCCCCTAGAACAGACAGCCTAGATTTGTGCTGAATAAATTTATCCACAAAGAACATGTTATTAAACTCTAGATCAGTTTGTCTGTTTAATCTCTAATGGGAAGTTATGCAGACCTTTCCACAAAAAGGACAGTGACCTCTACAGGTCCACATGCATCTTCCCTGCACCTTTGGGAGCTGGTCTAACGACTGGACTCAGAATTTACCATTAGCCAAACTGTGTGATCAGGATGGAAACCCAAACCATCAACCAGGCACAGTTTCAAACCTAAGATCTGTACCAAAGTGAGAGGCCCTACACAAAGCACAAGGGTCCCCCATCTTTAAAAGATGTAATTTATCCTGATAATAAAAGTTAACATGTACTTCTAATTCTTCCTAATAAAATTTACTCCAAATTCATAGCAGATTAAAAACTCCATAATTAGTTTAGCACAATTTTGTCCCCCTTTTTCCATCTAAATGAGCTACTTTACTTCCTGGAAAATATCAATAGAATATTAACCCTCCTCTAGGACATCAGATTTATGGCACACCAGTAATTCATTTTCCCCTCAATGATTTTTTCAGTTGATTCCTTTTCATCATCTGTTTTATTAATTAAAGTTTATTTTTCAAGTGAAAATAGATGTTTAAGGAAGAAAACAAGATGCTTGCAAATAATAAAGATTACTCATCTCCTGCTGTCCCTCAGACATTCAGCTTATAGCCCAGTAGCTGAACTGAGCCTGGATTCCTATCATCCAGGCTGAAAAGTTTCTCTGACTGTGGGATTCTAGGAGATTCTAGGATAATCCTGAATTCCCAGGCTGGCAAAGGGTCATTCTGCAACTTAGTGATTTGAAAGAAAAAACAACAAAAAAAAATAAGTTGTGATATGCAGTCACATCAGACTATCTTTCCCATGGAAGATGCTGAAATAAAAAAGGAGGTGTCGCTGAGGCATCTCTGGAAGACCCTAACATCAGGGCATCAAAGCCATCCGGGGCATAGTCTAGAGAACAACAGGGTGCCATCCTACGTGATTCTCTAAGATCCAAGCTCTGCCATTGTGCTGGACTCAAACCAACCAGGTCCTTTATGGTCTTCAATGGACTTCCAGACATATTTTCTTATGCTTTCTCATTTGAACAGTTTCTGAAAGCTGTGGTTTCAAAACTGAACCTGAAGCAAACTGAGTGTTGTTTCTAACTGGCTGCAAAACCCATAGGAATTGTGCCAAAGGGCTTATTTTCCTCAGTATCCTGCCAGTCTCCAGAAAGCAGAAGCTAGAAGTCTTTCTGGGTAAATATATTCACTTCCGAGTCTCCAGAAGTGCTCTGTCGCCACCCTGCCTGCTGCAGATGGAAATGGATGAGGCTGCATCAGCCACATGATCTGAAATCATCAGGGCTCCAATTTCCCAAACAGAAAATGATAAATGCTATTATAAATAGCCTTCTGCCCCTGAGTCAATGGCACTTGTGGTCACAAATCGGGGGGCTGCCCCAGTAGCTGCTCAGCAGCCTGCCCGGCTATATACACTGACAAAGGGCAGAAAGGTCCTGTCTGCAGTGTTCCAAACTGGTCCTTAATATGTATGCCCTTTGGCATATGCCATAGAAATTCAGAGAGAAATCCAGAAGTTAGGAGACCAGTATAAACTTCATATTAAGAAAGAAGAGTGGGTGAGCCATGTTTTTCCTGTGAGAACACTTAAGACATTAAAAATACAGATCCTTGGAGGGCGGAGCAAGATGGCGGGGGAGTAGGAGACCTGGATTTCATCTGGTCTCAGGAATTCAGCTGAATAGGGATCAAACCATTCTGAACACCTACGAACTCAACAGGAGATCGAAGAGGAGAGTAGCAACAACTCTCTGAACAGAAAAATGACCACTTTCTGGAAGGTAGGACGTGCGGAGAAGTGAATCCGAGGCGATATTCGGGAGGATAGATGGCGGGGGAGGGGGCCTCCGTCGGCCGCTTCTGGCAAGTGATAGAGCCGCGGAGCACAAAATTGGAACTTTTAGAAGTCGGTTCCGCTGAGGGACGTCACTCCAGTGGCTAAGCGGGAGGTGGAAACCTCGCGGTACAGTGTGTACTCAGGACCCTCGGGGTCACAGAAAGACTGGGGGTACCTGAGTGCAGCAGAGCTCCCAGGTATCGGAGCGGGGAAGCCGGCTGCAGAGATGGAGCCGAGGCACGGGGTCTCAGCTCGGGGTTGCCATAAACTGTGATCCCGGCCCACTCGGGCAACTGCGCCTCCAGCAGGGACCCAGCAAGCAACAGAGCCGGGGAGACTCCCCTCCCTCCCACAGGAGAAGCGGCGCGGGAGCGCATCACAGGGATCTGCTGGGTTTGGAGACTCCACGTGGGGTCGGGTGCCAGAGACAGAAACGCTTGGTCACAGGCCGGGTGAGCACGGAGTGCGGCCGGAGATCGGGGACACGGGAGTGATTGACTGCTCTTCTCTGGGGGCACACTGAGGAGCGGGGCCCCGAGTTCTCAGCTCCTCCGGGCAGAGAGTGGGAGGCCACCATTTTCACCCTGGTCCTCCAAAGCTGTGACAAGAGCTTGCAGGAACAAAAGCTCCTGAGAGCAAACCGGAGCAGCTTGCTTAGCCCAGACCGACAAGGGCGGGGCACTTCTGCCTCCGGCAAAGACATTTGGGACCCACAGCAACAGGTCCCTCCCCCAGAAGATCAGCACGAACAGCCAGCAAGCCAAGACCAAGTTTACCGATCAAGGAGAACAGGAGAACTCCAGCGCTAGGGGAATACTGCATATAGAATTCATGACTTTTTTACAATGATTCATTAGTTTTTCAAAGTTAATTTTTTAACTGTTTTTTGGGTTTTTTTTTTAATTTTTCTTTTTCCCTTTTTCAACCAATATCTTATCAATCACTTTTTAAAAAAAACATTTTTGATTTTTGATTTTTGTTGTCATATTTTATCCCTTCATAGTAGCTACCCTTATTTTTGGCATATATATATATATATAAGTTCTTCTCTCTTTAAAATTTTGATATACAGTTTCTTCTAACAGATCAAAATATACCCTAAATCACTAGTGTATGGCTTTGTTCTAGTCTCCTGCCTGATCACAGTCTCTCCCATTTTTTTTTCTTTTTTTTCTTTTTTTAAAATCTTACTTCTTTCAAACAACTTCTTATCAATTCCGTATATAAAACCTTTTATAAGTTTCATCTTTACAGTCATCTTCCATCCTTTCATTGTATCAACCCTTATTCTGTACATATATAAGTCTTTCTTCCTTTAAACTTTTAGGAGGCACTTTCTTCTAACTGACCAAAATACACCAAAAATCTAGTGTGTGGCACTGATCTATGCACTAGCCTGATCATATTTGATCATATTCTGTTTTTGTTTTGTTTTGTTCTGTTTTTGTTTGTTTTTATCTTTTTCTTTTTCTTTTTTCTTTCTTTCCCTTTCTTTTCCCCTGGTTTCAGGACTTTTCTGATTTGTATACAGTATATTTACTGGGGACGTTGTTAACCTGTTAGCATTTTGTTCTCTCATTTATCTGTTCTCCTCTGGACAAAATGACAAAATGAAAAAAATCATCTCAGCAAAAAGAACAAGAGGTAGTACCGTCTGCCAGGGACCTACTCAATACTGACATTAGTACAATGTCGGACCTAGAGTTCAAAATCATGCCTTTAAAGATACTAGCTGGGCTTGAAAAAAGCGTGGAAGTTATTAGAGAAACGCTTTCTGGAGAAATAAAAGAACTAAAATCTAACCAAGTCGAAATCAAAAAGGTTATTAATGAGGTGCAATCAAAAATGAGGGCACTAACTGCTAGGATAAATGAGGCAGAAGAGAGAATCAGCGATATAGAAGACCAAATGATGGAAAATAAACAGGCTGAGAAAAAGAGAGAAAAACAACTACAGGATCACGAGGGCAGAATTCGAGAGATAAGCGATACGATAAGACGAAACAACATTAGAATAATTGGGATCCCAGAAGAAGAAGAAAGGGAGAGAGGGGCAGAAGGAATATTGGAGCAAATTATAGCAGAGAACTTCC